ACTAAACTAAAGCTTATTTACAAAAATATGTTTAATAGTTACTACAATTTAGCGTCATGTTAACTTAAGTTTAAAAATTGAACATAAGTTACTATAATTTCATTGTTATAAATATGTAATTCTTTATTTTAGTCATAAATATGTAATTCTTTATTTTAGTCATTAACATGTAATTATTTCATAATAAAATAAAAAAATATTAGAAAAATAAAAGATACATAAAAAATCTAAAATATTTTTTAAAAAATATACTAAAATAAAACTTCCTTCGTCCCATTGAAAGGTTCTCAACCACTATTCTCCAAGCAACGTGAATTGTTCTTAATGTTTTAGTTTATATATCTAACTTTTATTAAAAAAAATTATTTTTGCGACATTGTAAAACTTTTAATGTATTCTAAATATTTAAATTTTATTTACTAAAAATAATCTTATTAATGACAAAGATCGATTAATTTTATGGTCAGCCAAACATCATAAGCTGCATGATAATCTTTAAACTGGAGGGATGGAGTAAAAAAACAAAAAAACAAATACAACACCTCTAAAAAAACATGCATCATAAGCTGCATGTTTTACTTATATTTTATACTTTAATATATAAACTATATATTAAGTAGATGTAGAATGTATGTATTAACTATTAAGTGGATATAATAATTGTATAAGAATTAAATATTAGAGTATAATGGAGAATTGGAGATTGGAGAATAAGAAAATAAGTATATATGAAATATAAGTAGAGAAGTAGATATTATTATGTATTAAGTATATAGTAATAGTTTATAAAGTATATTTAATACTTTAATATACAAATGTGGGTGCCTTTGCCACAGCCTCAGCCACTGCCCAGCAGCGCCACCTTTGATCGGCTAAAGAATGTCATTTGTGTAAAATTGCAATTTTTCTCTGAAAAAATGCTATGGAAAATACATTTTTACTCTTTAAAAATGTCAAAAGTTTTCTAAAAAATTGTGGATGACATTTATGACACATGTTGCATTTTCGATGATCAGAGCTAGTGGTGCTGGGAGGTTGCTGAGGAGGCAACATAGGCTTGCATTTTTTTAACGTTATGTTTTTAATTTTAATTTTTAAGTTTTCTATTTTTTATTTTTTATTTTTCAGATTGAATTTTAAAAAACTAGCAACAAAAAGAGTTAAAAAACAATAAAGAACTATTCAAAGATCATGGCATAGAATTGTAGAAACAAACATCATGATGTTCCGAACTAGCTAGTTGCTAATTTTAGGTAAAGTCGATTAAAAATTAAACACTCCCGTTTGCTATAAAAAAAGGATGACACCCCATCCCTGAGGGCCCCCAACACCGACCGGACAGCACGATGTACGGATGTAAATTGGACTATAATCACAATCTGACAGATAGAGAGTGGGGCTCTGTCCCCGATACTTGCAGAGGCCCTCTATTGAGTAACCTCTCATCACAGTTGTCGGAAGTCGAACCCGGGACCTAACCCTTGTGACACTCCATCATACCAGTTGAGCTACGTCCACCGGTAACAATCCCGTTTGCTAATTGTATGTGTGCGGAGCAGAAAAAGTAAACAGGGTAATTTGATCAATCAATGTTACATTAAGTATTTTTGGGGTGCACAAAGCAATCCCCACATAAATATGTACAAAGATGATTTTAAGGGTGAATACAATCTTTCACAACAGAATCCGGTGTGAAAACGGGAGGGATTGGATGCAAGGGGATGAGATGTCTAGAAGTGAGTTATTTTAAGCGTTGGCGAATCATGTTGGTAATTATGGTGCGACGTTTAGCATTATGCATGAGTGAGAGAACTCCTAAGTCCAAACTCCAAACCTTTTAATTTGGATTAGATTAGTTTTGTGGGTGGGTGCAGTGGGTCCAATTTGATGGGTTTATGTTTTCAATTATTTTTCTAGCACACATTTTCTACATATTTTTGCACACGATTGTAAGTAGATTATTCTTTTATCCTTAAATCTTGTTCATAGACAAAATACTAGCATGCTCACAGATGTGTGCAAAAAGTTGGTGTGTTCAAATGGTTTTTTCTTATGTTTTGTCTAATTCACATTATTTGAATTTTATTTTACCATCATCCTAAAATAATTTCTTAGTTTTTTAAAGGAAATTGTCAAACTTTATTAACTTAAACGAAATAATCAGCACACACCCCAAAACATCTCTCCTTCTAGACTTTCAATAACTATAAGGCCCCCACTCTCTGATCCGACATAAAAGGTCCATCCATGTTTGAGCAACACATTTCGCTGAACATGCAAGAAATTTGAAACAATATATAACGGTATGAAAAGCCACAATATTTCTCCCCCAAACAAAGAAGCCTAAAAACTCACACAATCCCAACCACAAGATTCGTATTTGAAAGTAAAAGCTACACACGACGTATAAAAGACTAACATTGAAACGAATATAACAATAACTAATACAATAAATTCTTTGAACTCTAGCACCTCGTTCATTCCACAACGGTGGTCTTGGAGGAGGCCGAACCATCAGTATCGCTGTGATTGATCCTTCATTGTTGGTCGAACTCTTACCTTCGTCAAACCCATCATCAATCTGCTACTAGCTGGGAACTTTGTTTTTCCACGGCCATTGTCTGCGCTTCACCGTACACAATGTCCTCTATCCTCTCCTTCTCTCTCGTTGAAGAGATTGCCGCTAATAACTCTGCTGACTCATTGTGACTCTGAACCCTACCGCAAAAGTTCTACGCCTGTCCGCTAATATGCATGACCAATCAATTAAATAGATAAAATAAATAGAAAATGATTTCCTAGTTTTAATGACAATAATTTAAAGATATGAATTTTTCCTTTGATTTTCTGAAATGCTTTTTAAGTAATGATAAGCTTTATTATAGAGTACACTATATAATTGTGAGTCGCTGTATAATCTCAATTACTCAAGGGTGGTAGAGTCAATTGATACTTCCCTTTTTATAAAACTTTACCAAACTTCTTTATTTAGTAATCAACTAAAACTTTATCATTTCCATTTTAAAAAATGAAGATGTGGTTAAAGTTATTTCTCTCTATTCTATACATTACAGAGTATTATAAGAGGACTTTTATTTTATTATCTCACGTGTAAGTTAAATTTGGACAAGTTTTATGGAATAGGTTGAACATGAATTTCTTTACGAAATATACTAAGAATACTTTATTTAGAGTCATCCGGAAAAAAGCAAGAAGTTCTTTAAGGGACAGAGGGGTAATTACAATCCCCCTCACACAATTAAGAACCCATCTCCGGGCCCTCGTTACCAGCCCCATCGGCCAACATTTTTATCAAACACATATTTTTTTATTTCTAAGATGAATTGTGTAATAATCAAAATAAACAAGATTACAGATACTTTTATGCAGAATTGGCTGAAGTTATTCTGGAGGGTGATTTTAGCAATTTCTCATATAGTTTTTCTTTATTTTATTATTTAAAGATACTTTAAATTAAATGTGATTTTTCCATTATTCATCTGATTCAATCGATTCAGCCAAAACTTCATAAATTTCAGGAGATATCCCCGATTCAACCAATTTCAGTGTTATTAAACACACTCTAAGTTTCTAGATTGACTTCACGAGTTTTAGGTTAACTAGTTTTTGAATTGATTTTCCAAGTATATCTTCATAAGAGGCATGATAGAAGTTTTTATATGGTATTTAATCCCAAGTTATTGCGAAGTAAAAAAAAAACAATGAGATAATGAAAGTCAATATTCTTGCATTTATTGCTACGGCCCTGTCGATTCTTGTTCCCATCACCCTTCTACTTATTTTAAAGTAAAAATCGTTGGTAAAAATAATTAATGGGTATTTAATCCGTCTTAAAATAAATTTATCTATTCAATTAGATCATTAGATTATAAATAAATCTATAAATATAGTAATACATTATAATGCATCAACAATATTAGATTGTAGCCAAATACCTTGTGCTTTAAAGACACACTGTGACACATCCAAAGAGGAGGTTATGACTCACGAGTTCGAAACTCTAGCCAATCAATTGAATCAAATTTGTTGGCATTTAGTATAACAAATGTTAAAATAGAAAAAAAAAATAGTTTGTACAAACCCAATGAAATCTATTATCTTAAATTAGGCATGAACCCGATCCGACTATCCGGGCTGATCCAATATTGGGTCCAGTACTGTTTGGACCCGGACTGAGTCCATTTTTCATACTAGGTTTAGGACCAACACTGTAAGATGGATTTTGGTACCCAATCTAAAGTTACCTGTTTTGGGACTGAACCGGCTGATCCCGATCCCAAATTCGATCCCAAATCCAATAGGCGGCCTCGGCCCAAAAGCAGGACCGAATCGACCCAATTACATGCCTATCCAAACCAATTAGAATGTGGAAGCGCTGAACAACTTGTTTTAGACTTAGGTCCCACACGCATATGTGACCAATGACATACCAATACCCCTTTCCCCAATCAGTTTCGTAGTATTTTGTTATTCAATCTGGTAAAACTTACAATTTCTTAAAGCTTTCTTTAATCTTGTGGCTTGAAATGTTAATATGTTCTTCAATGGATAGGGTATGGGGTTCGAGTGTTTGATCACTTTGAGTAGTTTGATGTATCCATCAGGAGTTTGCATATTTACAAATTCTTCTAAAATCTAGAGGCTATAGCGATCAAATATGTCATTTGGTTAGTTAATCAATCACAAACCGAAGCCAAACACCAGTTGTTCAGTGGTCGTTAAAGTTGATTTTTTAGTAAGATACTTGGACCGACCAACCAACCAAATGTTCATCCCATCACCCCTAATTCCCTACACCAAAGTGACCTAATTGGCAATGAGGAAATACTGCTTGAGATTCTAAAAGTCACCAGGAAGTCAGAAAACGTTGTTAAATTCATAATTCAATCAAAATCAGGTATTGGGATTTGGGGGTTGCAACTTGCAAGTTTGCTACACAAAAGAATATGAAATGATCACAAGTAACTCATTTTCTCAAGTGAATGATGAATAATTCTATTTGCATTTGTGTTTCCAACGTAAACTCTTGTATTACATTCCTTCCCCCCATCTTAGTTTTAGCATGATTATGGGACTTGTTTGAGGATTCATTTTATTATTAGTAATTGATGTTTGCATGTATTATAAATACACTAAAAGCTCTACAAGACCGCAAAAACAAATTTTGGATATGATAAATATTCTATATATATAATTGGAGATTTAGAGAATGGGAACAATAATATGGAACATAGATGGTATTATTTTTCCCCAGCTCACACTGCAATATAGAGCAAGACGCCTCATCTCAGTGAGTTTCCAGAAGAATCAACTCAAATTTGGACATGGTAGAGATTGTGCTTCTCTATATAGCCAATCACCTCATCTGCAGTCAAATATTTTATTGACAACCTCTTCAAGATGCAATCCCTGACATTGAAAACACACAAAAAAACAGATGAAAAGAAAAATGTTAAATAGTCTGCAGTATCCAGCAAAAATAGCTAGAGATGTCAGATTAGCTTTACCTCAATCCTGTAGAACTGACACCGTTCGGCACTACCTCATCTACGATTTTGATATTGGCCTGCAAAATAGTATAAATTCAATCATGCTCAGGTAACAAATGTTCGGCCTACACCCATCTAGGTGCTTAACTTCTCTTGACCTCTACGTATTTTTTATTATTTTCTTTCTTTGGACACTTTTTTAATGCAGCGTATGTGAACCTCATAGGGTCTGTTTGGACAGAAGGTTTTGGAGGAGAAGACTTGATAAATAGAGCGTTCCTAAAACAAATTAAAGGCGGTTGAAATGTTAAATGATAAATGTCACGTGAATCTTTCAATTTTAATAAACAAACAAATACAAACTCAGTATTAAGATATAGACTACGGAATCCAAAGTCTTCCCTTCGCAATGCCCCAAAAACCCTCCATCCAATTACATCCTCGGGGTGACCGAGTGATGCCATAAGGGGAGCCTTGTCACACAGGTTAAGGTGTGGTGTGATCGAGAGCTCATGGGTTCAAGTCTAGGGAGCAGCCTCGGGGGAAAGCTTTCCCCTTGTACACACTTGTGGTAGGATGGTGGGAGGACCCTCTTCCCCGGACACTCGCCTTTGTGCACCAGGCTGCCTTTTTTCTTTTCTTTTTTGGTGACCGGGTAATGCCACAAAACATGGGCAATGGATATCAAAACAAGCTTCATAAACAAAGGAAATCCAACGATCTTATTTCCTCACAACAGAGGATGAAACGGTTAAATAAAAGAGTTAAGGGGGGAGTGTTTTAATTTTCTTTTTCCATTCAAAACATGATGATTTTGTTTTTAAGACTAAATTGAATGACAGTATTAATAGGAATCATATATAAACTGCAAAACACTTTACAAGGAACATTTCACGCCCATTATAGGTTGCAGTTAATAAAGATCATTAAAATGCCCATAAACGAACCACTTACCAAGTGCAGCTTTAAAAGCATATAAGAAAACCATACCTTGTACGCATTTAAGATGTCATCATCAGTAATAATCTTATCAACATCCTGACTATCTCTTCGAACACAAACCAATCCAAAGTCTCTACATATTGTCCTGACCTGAAAATTTAATAGATAAATTTTATGTTCTTTTGTCTGGTACTGCTAATGCTTGATGTGTCAAGGTGAACATTACATGCTCAGGTATCCAAACTCCTGGAGTGCTAAAAGATTTTAGCAAATCCGACCCACATACGAGCATAACCTTGAGGGAATCTGCGGAAGATAGTAAGGTCGATCAGTAGTAGCGTGATGATGATGATGTTGAAAATGAAATTAATAATGATGATAAATGTGGTGGTTGAATTGATCCTATCTCACCACCAAAAAAAACAAGAGGTAAGGCATACTCATTATTACACTTAAACTCAGTAAACATTCTGATAGGAGCTCCAAAATCGTAACAGTAGAATGACGTCTATTAAGAAGGAAACGTGCAGAAACAGAAAGGAAATAGACTGACACACTTCGAGCAGTCCCCTCTCCCAACGAGACACTTCGAGCAGTCCTCTCTCCCAAGTCTATCCCAATTTCTGCCTACCCTCTTCCCTTCCATTCCCTCTATTTATTCCCTTCCAAATGAGGCTTCCCTCAATCTATTTAATTACTTGGCCCAGCCCACTATTACATTTTATTGAAATATTAAACCCCCAAATCCAGGTCTCTACTCTCTATCATCACTTGCCCCTTTGACAACCACCTTGTCCTCAAGGTGGGGGAAGTAAGATTAGCCATGCCATCCAGCTTCATCCTCGTGCCCCTTCCTTCCCAGTATCTCCCCGATTTCAGTGCCTTTAGCTTCGGTACTTGAATCTTTGTCATCCATTCTTCCTGGCATTTGCTGAAACCTTCCCAAAAATCTTCTAATTCTGATAGTTGTCTCCATTGAACCAAAACTTCCTTATTTCCTTGTAATGCAAAAGACTTGACTCCTCCTGCATGCTCTTGATCCTTTTCAATGACATAATACTCTTCCATGCATCAAGCAGATCTGTACCCATATCCACTATATGCTGCATCGTCATTTATATCTACTCGGATGTAAAGCCACTGAGTTCCAGTAGGAAGATGCTCCAAGGATATTATTCTGCCACCAATCTCGGGAACCACTTTCAGCTCCCAATCCAGATCATTACATGGGGTCTGTTCAGCCTTAGGATCCACAAACCACTTTGGTAGTTTGACTGATTCACCCTTAGGTGCCCCCATTCTTCTAGGGCCTTTGTGAAACCAATCATAGCACTCACTTGCCCATTCCTCTTACTCATTGCAACAGGCTGAGATGCGGAAAGTGAATTTTGAAATGGTACATATCCAAAAGTTACAGTACTCCTTTCAGAAACAGCCGGAAAATGGCCTTGATGAGCAATTGAGATGTAGCTTGGATAATAAGGAACAGAAAGTTCATCTTCACCCTTAAGGTTCATAATTGCTAGAAACTCAGTAAAAGAGTGCATCCCAGAAGTTGATAGTTGATTGTGCACAGTTGTTTTAGCTTCTTCATAATCAAGTGTAATGCCCACATCCGAGCTGTTCACATGTCTTTTTCCTGCTACCCTTTACTTCCCTGTCGTGAACTAGAACAATGTTTGACTGCTCCTCTTCAAGCAACCAGTAGCAATGGTTCCATAATATGAAGGTCAAGTGTGCTTCAAACACAAACCCCATAATGTACACCATTCCAACATCTCACTTGCAGAAGCCCCTCTGCACTCTTGAACTGATAGGGAAGTTGGTCATCGTAAAGGATTGTAGCTCCTACAGTTCCAAGTGCTTTACTAGAAATCACACTCAGTTTGGAGTTAGCCACTGGATAACCGTGAATGAGGTTGTTGACAAGCATCCAATACACAACCATGTCCATGATAGATCACTGGAATTAATCAAGCAAATAGCAACAGATCTAGGGAAATATGGAGAGAATAGATTGAAAGAGGTTTATTGAACAAGATGAAATCACCGAACGTAAACAAAGCCTTGGGACTGTTCGAGAAGCACACTCTCCAAGCCTAAATGCCAATTCAATAACAGCCTACCTATTTTAGCCGACTCCCCTTCTATTTTATAGTCCATATCCACGCAGGGATAAAATGAACTATTAACTAATAATAGACTTCTTATCCTTTGTATTATACTCTTTAAAGAATAGGCCCACTAATTATTTAATGAATAGGCCCAATCATTATTTATTCCTATCAATACTCCCCCCCTAAACAACCACCTTGTCCTCAAGGTGGGTGATAGGAGTCAGCCTTGATCTCCCACTTGCACTTCAATTTTGCACTTCTCCCCTCCCAGTACTTGAGTACTTGCTGGACTAGGAATTTTAATACCAAATCTTTTGGTATCACATACATGTCAGCAGTTGTTATCTTCAGTATGAAACAGGAATTCTGATAGGTAACACTATCCAATCACAGAATTATAACAGAAATCAACAATAGAAAAACAAGAAATCTGTTATTGATATCAAAGGAGATAAACCGTATACAAGTTCCCAAAGAAAGAGATAAAACTCTAACTTCCCAGCCAAGACATTAGTCTAGAAACAGCCTGCCTTCCCACTGCAGTGTTTATTCTATTTATAGCATTCACAACGGAATGGTAGTTATTAGCTTTTAACAGAACAACTAATAACTAACTACTAGTCTATTTTCTAGGCCTTCGTACATAAACTTGCCCATAGAATCTGTCATCTCCATTTAGACTAGTGGGGTCCCTAACAATACCCCCCCCCCCCGGAACACTCAACTTGCCCTCAAGTTGAAAAGTAGGGAATTGTTCTTGGATCGTTTGTAATTCCTCCCATGAGTCCTCAAAGTCAGGAAGCTTCTCCCAATGAATAAGGATCTCCTGCTTCCCTTCTTTATTCATCCGGCTGCCTCTTACTTCTGCAGGCCTCACTTGCAACTCACAATCTTCTGTGAGACAGTCTGGGAGGTTCTGATAAGCCACTGTAGGTTTCAGCACCTTCTTAAGCAAAGAAATATGAAATACCGGATGTATTCTACACCCTTCCGGTAGTTGTAGTTTAAAAGCCACAGGATTTATCTGTTCAACAATCTCATAGGGCCCATAAAACCTTGGACTAAGTTTTTGATTGATTCTCTTAGCTAAACTCCTCATCTTGTAGGGTTGTATTTTCAGAAATACTCTATCCCCCACTGCTAGATTCACCTCCCTTCTGTGCTTATCAACTTGTTGTTTCATTAAGTTCTGAGCTTTGGCCAAATTCTCCTTTAATTCTTTCAGAACCTGATTCCTTTCAGCTGTTAATTTTGCCACTTCATCTACTGCAGTCAAAGAGACATCACCTCTGATTAGGGTAGGAGGTGCTTGTCCAAACAAAGCCTTATAGGGTGTACACTTCAAAGAACTGTGATAATTTGTGTTAAACCAGTACTCAGCCCATGGTAACCACTTCACCCACTGTTTAGGAGCATTACCAGTCAAACACCTCAGGTAGGTCTCCAAGCACCTGTTTACAACTTCAGTTTGCCCATCACTTTGGGGGTGATATGCAGTACTATACTTCAGTTTGGTACCAGCCAATTTGAATAATTCAGACCAAAATGAACTCAAGAAAATGCTATCTCTATCACTGACAATTGACTTTGGGAACCCATGAATTCTTACAACCTCCTGCACAAACACTTCAGCCACTCCCTTAGCATTAAAAGGATGAGTTAAGGGTATGAAGTGCGCAAACTTAGTCAGTCTATCCACCACAACTAGGATAGTATCCTTGCCCTGAGATTTAGGTAAGCCCCCCACAAAATCCATTCTTATATCAGCCCAAACCTGCTCAGGTATTGGTAGTGGTTGCAGCAGCCCTGCAGGTTTCAAAGCTTGGTATTTATTTCTTTGACATACCTCACATCCTTGGACATAACTTTGAATATCTTTTTTCATACCTATCCAGTAAAACATGTTGGTTATCCTTTTCATTGTCCTAAAATAGCCAACATGACCTCCTATAGCAGAATCATGATATTCTTGTAAGATTGCACTCTTCCTGTTGGATTCTCTTGGTAACATCAACCTTCCCTTGTAGTAGATTAACCCCCTTCAATTGGTAGTCCACAAACTTGTCTGGCTGTGCTAACACTTTCTGAATTAACTCCCCACATTTTGGATCTGCCATCAATTCTTCCACTAACCCTTTCCACTCCTGGCAGTATATGGTAGATAAGGCTAAGTAATTACCCTTTCTAGATAAGGCATCTGCTGCTTTGTTCTCAATCCCCGGCTTGTATTTTATAGTAAAGTTGTATCCCATGAGTTTAGATATCCATCTTTGTTGGTCTTCTCCCATAACTTTCTGCTCGGTTAGATGTTTAAGACTTTTCTGATCTGTATGCACTTCAAACACCCTGCCAAGCAAATAAGGCCTCCACCTCTGTATTGCAAAAACAATTGCCATCAATTCCTTCTCGTAGATGGATTTTGTAAGATGTTTAGGTGAAAGCTGTTTACTCATATACGCAATAGGGCCACCTTCCTGCATAAGTACAGCCCCAAGACCCTTCCCTGATGCATCAGTCTCTATAACAAATAATTTGTTGAAGTCTGGCATCCTGAGTACTGGAACTGAGACCATAGCACTTTTCAGATCATTAAAGCTTTTGTAGCTACCTCACTCCACTTAAAACCATCTTTCTTTAACAAACAAGTCAGAGGAGCAGCAATACTGCTGTAATCTTTCACAAACCTCCTATAGTAGCCAGTAAGACCTAGAAATCCCCTTAGTTCCTTCAGATCTTTAGGTGTGTCCCAATTCTTCATAGCTAGGATTTTCTCAGGGTCAGCTGCCACCCCTGCTGCAGATATTATATGACCCAAATATCCTAGCTGTTCTTACCCAAATGAGCACTTCTTGAGGTTTGCCACTAGCTGATTTCTCCTTAGAGCCTCCAGAACCAATCTTAATTGTTGTTTATGATCATCTCTAGTCTGGCTATACACTAGAATGTCGTCAAAGAAGACAAGAGCAAATCTTCTTAGAAATGGCCTCAATACATCATTCATGAGTGACTGGAATGTTGAAGGAGCGTTAGTCAGCCCAAAGGGCATAACTAAATATTCGTAATGGCCCTCATGGGTCCTGAAAGCTGTTTTATGGATATCACTGGTTCTCATCCTTATCTGATGGTAACCTGACTTGAGATCCAATTTAGAAAAAATCCTGGCACCACCCAACTCATCCAGTAATTCCT